ATATCTCCTGCTGTCTTTTTGCTGACTCCAGTATCAACAAGGATCCCCTGTGCTATAGATTTGCAGAATGACTCCAAAGGCCCAACTTTACAGTGTACAGAAACAAGGGCTATTTTGAACTATCAATCCAGCCATGGCAATGTGGAGCTTAGCACAGTTTACTCTGTTTTTTGACTTAGGTTTGTACCCTGCACTGTGCTCCATGTTGCTGGAGTGAAATTCCTAGCAACACCCAATTAAAACAAGCACTGAATGTTTACTCCCCATCACTGCCACTGCTTTGACTGCAGTGTAAACGCACCACTAATGACTTGGCCGATGGGAGGGGAAAATTATGTGTCAGAGCCAAGTACAGAACTAGGAATTTGGGCCACCAGCCAGCTGGTTAGATCACACTGTGTGCCTCTAATGAAATGCATTGATTTGCGACTCTTACAATAACATTTTTGGGAAATCACTTCACTGGGTATTTATTTGTGTGTTGGAGCAACCTGGTCAGGTTGGAAAACTAAAGCAGACACTGCTTTCAGAGCAAGAGCAAAATTTTAAGAATGATTAATCATTGGAATAACTTTTCTAAGGATGTGATGGGCTCTCAATCATATTCTGCTGCACAGTCAATACGAGTTAGTTGTATAAAATATGTGCTATATCTCTGGTAGGAGTGCTGTGTGTCACTAGAAATGATTATCCAAAGTTCTTTGGGTTCTGTTACATCTGAGAGGAGACTATGTTGTTGCATTGGTTCTTCCTGCTGATGAAAAACCCCATGAGCCTGTGGTAGTCATTGAGTCTGTGTGTTTGTGATTCTGAGTAGTAACAGACTGAGATCTCGTCAGTGGTAGATTTAAAAGTAGCAACAATTTTCATAGAGAGGACTACCAAATTACAAAGGCTCATTCTGCAGAAGTGGACGCCCTGCCAAACTAGCGGCTGATATAACTTACTGTGATGATTTAGCGAGCTCAGAAAGAATTAAACCATCAGTAAAGTGACAGACTTGGTACATTTAAAAGCATCTGGTCAGATCTCATGGAATTTCTTGGCTACTACATGTTCAGTCAGACAGAAAGACATGGGGGCGAATCCATGATCACCTTGTAGTATTTCACTGGACACCTCAGAAAAGCAGATGGGAGTAGTGAGCAGTGGATGAGGTAAGCATTTATCTACTTGGAGTTTTGTACAGACCCTTTTCTGGACTGGCACCTCTTTAATATCCTTATAGATCTATGTATAAATTTGTGGTTTTCTTATCTGTCTACAGTTTATGGTTAGCTAAATTAGATAAATGCTATTTTTTTCCTGTGTGCTCAGGTGAATACATCCAGAGTTTAAATACTCTGAAAAGCAACCCCCTAGCCTTATATATAATATATAGTCTTATATTCCCTATCCAGAAATTGAGACACCTAGAATCTTTAGTGAGTCCTCAAAGTCTTTGTTGCTGCATCTGATTTTTTTCCTTTTCATGACTGCTTTCTGCATGGTTTTTGAGTGGCTGACAAACATAAAGATTAGAAAAATAATCCAGCCAACTAAGACTTGTTTCAAGAAAAAAAGCAGTAGAAAGAAAAAGAAGTAGTTAGGTCCAAACTGACTGACTTGTTTGTCCATCTTTAAGATGCATTTACTTAATCCAGTTCAATCTTTATTTCTGCCACGGTCTCAGTGTCTAGCAATGTAAGCTGATCATCTTTGAAAACGGAATTCACCTTTAAATGTGCTTAGACTGGAAAAAACGCCTGGTGAGGTCATTTTCAGAGCAAGAGTTAATGCATCATGCAAACAGCTAAATAAAGGTTACAATCTGAGTGGAATTATTCAGAGCTCAGGGAGAAATCTGGCATTTGCAGTCTGTCACTGGGTTTGAGAAGTCTGGCTCTCTCCATGTCACTGTCACTCAGGAGACATCCTGCTTTCTGCGTGGCAGTAAGGGAGGGGACTGCGGCTCGGAATGGTGTTCCTGTAAAAACAGCAAAAACAGGAGCGGTGGGAAGTGTCATGTGCGAGGAATGTGTGGAATGAGGGGTGAGTATGAGCCTGTCTTTGTCCAGTTTTCACAGAGTGACTCTATGGGTGTAAATAGCCAGCCTTCCTCCTCTCCTTTCCTCTTCAGGTCAGCTGAAGAGCCAATGTCAGGACAGCAAATGGTCCCTGATATTCCCAGAAGATCGCTGCATGGGGGGCTATGGGGAGTCGTGTGCCTCTTGAGACCTACCAGTTAATTATTGCAAGTTTTGGGCCCTATCTGGCAAGGTCTCCTTGACCTTCTTTTCCACCAACATCCCTGGGAGATGAGTTTGTCACTTTGGGGCAGGATACACCCAAGCTGGGGTGTAGATGGTGATAGTGCCAGGATGAAAATGCATCACTTGTCAACGCCCAGTTTTTTTTAGAGCTGGCAATCTCCACAGTGGTGCTGTGCAAAGACTTTGGGGGGGTTTTGCATTTTCCTTGTTTTGTTTCTATAAGTCAAGCATTTGGCTGATTGCACAGGAAATCAACTGCTATGGGCATTCACTTCAATGGGCGAATTTTAAACGAGCCACCAGGGACTGGCTGCTGCTGAGTTCAAAGAGAAAGAGACATCCAAAAACTCTAGCCAAGCCAAATTATGGTGGGAAATATCAGATACAAATACAAAGAGGAGAAAACTGGAGGCACAGCAGGGTGAAAGACAGATACAGCTTGATTTTTGTGTCTATATTAGGTCAGATTGAGATGAGGTTAATATAGAAAATTTAAAAAAACAGCCAACCAACTAAAATCCAAATCAAAACCAGAAAAAATCTCAATAATTTTGTGAAGGGGAGTTTGTTGAACATTAGGAAACATATTCTGTTGTTGGTGTTCTATGAGTTGTGTGCAATAATCTTGGGAAATTTAATGTGATACTTGACAAAATATTGTGAAAAGTGTTAGGAAGAATAGTGGTATGCAGGGCAGAAGGTGAGCAAAAGCTAAGCTCCTGCAATCATTCCTCTTTTTTTTCCTTTTCCCAGTGATTTCAAGAGTTCCCAGGCTCAGATAACTCCAAGAGACAGACCCAAACCCCACTTCAGAGTCAAGGTAAAGAGTTTGTGCTCATAAAAATGTAAAAAAAAATAGGAGGGGAGGAGGAATTTCAAGGGACGGAATAGAAGTCTAAACTTCAGTGTTGCTTCCCCCCAGCATACATGTGAGCAGCAGACTCCCGAAAAGAAGACTAGAGAAAGATTGCCATCTTCTGGAAGGATAAATATCTGCCATTATTCAGAATACTAAATATGCTATAAGCATATATTTTTTTAACCATAGCATATTTCTGATAAATTTATTTCCCAACATGAATTCTTATCTATATAAAACTAATACAGTTTAACTTCATCGATATATATGCCACGAACCCAGCTTTAGAAACTGATAGAGAATCTTGGGTTTTAATGATATTCTAACCGAGCTTAAAATGAGGAAGGTGTTAAGGATTATCAGTAGAGATGGACTTTATCTATTCCTGAGATTGTAAATCAGGCTTTTTTCTTTTTTCTTTTTTCTTTTTTCTTTTTTTTTCTAGCTGAGCATTTAGAACTTAAATTTAAGGTGTCCAGGTGTGGACAGACTGAAGAAAAGAAAGAAAAAACAAATCACTCTCCTTTTCAAAGGCATCAGCTGTTGTTCTACCTACTTCAGTAAATTAAGTACATCTGTTCCAAACAGAACCTTTTTGTTAATCAAAAACCTGCAGGCAGTCCATGGGGCACAGGGACATTTAGCATTGCTTTCAGTTAGTCCGTCTTAGAAATGCTTATCTATATTAGAGGAGTTTATGCAGCGACTGGGATTAAAATAACCACAGAGCTGCTGCCCATTCTGCTCAGGGCAGGAAGGGTCAGGAGCCCGGGACAGCACAGCCCATGTACTGGACCGTGAACTTCTCCGTCTGCTGCCCGTGCTGTGTGAGGCTGTCACAGGCTGTGCTGTCACCCAGAGCTGTTCCTGCACTGCACCCTGGGCTCTCATGTTGGACATGGGGGATGAGAATGGATGGACCACTGGCTTCCTGTGTCTTGGCAGAGCAGCATGCAGGGAATCTGCCTCCTTCCCTCCCAGTGGTGGTACGAGCTTCACCCTCTTGGCACAGGGCAAAGTGCTTGTGGAGAAGACAGGATGTGTCTTCCTTTGGGATGTTCCCCTCCCTTGCAGTTTGATTCAGTGGAGCTCTGCTCCATGGCATCTAGTAAGTTCTCATGAGAGGTGAAGTTGTTCTTACTTCTCATGGGTTTGGTGGCAAACAGGTATTTTGAGAGCCTTTAAACTTTCAGGACAAGAGCTCAGACTTTGTGTGAATGTGAATCTGTCTCTTCTTACTAGGTTCCCAAATTCATCTAAGGTGAACCAGCTGGGATTTGCAGTGACCTTCACATTTTTGGCCACTACAAGTGGCACTGACAATCTACTTCATTCTCCTATGCTTTGACTATTGGCTTGACTATTGCTGTTTCAAATAGCTCCTTTGTGGTAATGATGCCATGGTGTCAGTCTGCCACTCAGCAGCTCTTCTGCTAAGGGGCTCCTTTTGGCATCGAAATTTCCAGTGCCCGTGGGGAGAGCTGCATTGGTATCTCTTCAGGGACTGAAATCTTCAGTCCTCAGAGCAGATGCAGTTGAAGAAACTTTCTTCTTTCAATTTTTTTTTCTATTTTTTTATTCTGCCCTTTCTGCAACTATCAGGTGTGGCCAGGAAGATACCCTAGGGCTGGGATGCTTTTGGTCTTTACCATTCTGCTGAGACAGTGCACAGAGCAAGGGATGACCTGATGCCAAGGGGGCTGTCAGTTTCCGAGCTAAGGTCACTCCTCCCCTGTAGCATTGGCCAAAGCTGCCATCTTCCTCCATACAAGCTCCCAAAGAGCTACCACATGGGGATGGATGGAACCTTTAAGTGTTTTAAAGAAACTTTCTACTCAGTTAATAGAGGTCACTCTTCTGCACTTAATCCCAACCCACAGCACCAATCACTTCCCATATAATCTCCCAGAACAGCTGTGCTGTGATTGCATTGTGGATTACAAAATGACCATTTTCCACAAAACAGCTGCTGATCAGAAGGATAGCATTTAATAATCACTGGCAAGGCGAAGGAGGAGGGGACCAGACAAAGGAGGAAGGGATTTTGCAGCAATTTGGTTTCTTGGAGGATATAGAGATGAACAAAACAGCAGACAAAGTGTGAGTCCCACTTCTGTGCTGTTCATCCAAATTACCAGGACTTCAAAGACTTGCTGCTAAGGTAAATTCAACTATCATTCCTTTTGGGGCTATCTAGATATTATGGTTGGCTATTATCAGTGAGTGCTTGGCTTTTGTGGAGGGAAGCTTTTCTAACAATGTTTTCAGGAAGTAGTTCAGATCTGCTTCTCATTCCATATGTCTTCTGCATCCTTGATCCACTTCCTTCTCTGACTCATTTGTTTCTTGCATTTTTTATGTCTTTTCCTTAACACTCTTCCTGAAATTATACGGCCTTTCAACTGCTGTCATAAATCAACTGGAGAGAATTATTTTCCCACTATTGAAGATTTAAATTAGAAAGATGATTTTTGTAAATATTGTGAGTGGAATTTTTTGTTAAATTAAAGCATTAGCAAGCCAAAACCTGATGACAGAAAATCTTATAATTAAGCATTGATGAAAAGCTCAAAAATTTTGTGTGCTGAAGTTTTCAATTTTCAGGTGAAAAATTATGTATTTGAGAAGAGCAATTTTGTCTGTAATTTCCTTTTCAGTCATAAGCCAAATTTTCCACCAAAAAAGTTTCAGTGAGAAGTGTGCCACTAATCTTAGCCAGAAACTCTTCCTAGCAGGTGTCTACTCTGTGAAAATGGTGATATTCAACATACCTTCAAATCATGGAAGTCATTAGTTATGGCATCACTGAGACATTACAATCTACATGGTGCAGAAAGAAATGTCCTGGTGAAGAGACAAAAGAAGCCAGAGTATGAAACAATACAGGAAAATTTCAGGAACCGAGTATTTTCTTGCTTTCAATGAGGGTTTTCAGGGTCAGGCTCTGCTTTCTCAGTGTGATGAGATGCTAATAAGGTCCTGCTTTTCAAGAGGGGCTTCAGCACCCTCTTTGTTGACCATGTTTCCAAGCTTGCTGGTAAGCAGCAAAAATGATTTTAACTGCACCACTTTTATCTGTGGTGCAGTCACAAACAATGCAGAGCTGGGTCTTGTATTGTTTATTTATAGTGATGTCCACAGAATGCTGGGTCTTTCTCACGCCTTCAGCGCTGGGTGAGTCAGCCGGAGTTAAGTGAAGACGACCAGCAGTAGGCAGCGTCTGTGCAAACGGAATCTATTCAGGGGTAAATAGATTTTCAGAGTCATAAATAGGAAAGGGTGGGAGTATCTGGATGATGTTGTGCCAAACCTAAGGGAGTGCCATGTGGGAAGAGACATGCATTGATTACATTAAAGTTGATGTGTGGGTAGATGACATCTAATCAATCTATGGAGTGATATTTTGGGGTTCACAGGAGTCAGTGCAGGGTTTTGCAGGAACCCTAAAGTCTTTGTCTTCCCTCTGAGTGAGAAAGTCTTTGGTTCACAAACTGCTTTCTCAATTACTTTTAATGGTGAGATGAAATCAGTAGGGATGTGGCAACATTCACTTCTGTAAGAAGCAAAACCTTTGGCACTTTGTGTGAAAGCAGAGACGCTGCCATCCCACCACCCTACCAAGTTTCTGATGTGCAGATGAGAGCTCAGGTGGAAGGAAGGTGCTGCTCTGTGGCTCGTACTTAAGATGCCAGGTCTGGACAGCTGGGTGTCCTCTCTGAGCCAGTCACTGCTTTGATGTGTGACCTTCAGCAATATAGGAACATTTTCCTGCCTTTCCCCACTGAGAAATCACTATACTCTCTACCTCCCTCCTATGTACAGTAACGAGATGCTTGAAAAAATGTTTGGGGACACCTGGCAGCAAGATTTCTCATTTGGTTGGAGAGAGCATTCATTGTATTCATGTAAAGGCAACACATGGTATTCAGAGAAGTTGGTTAACAGTTTCTCCCTTTCATCTCTGAGATGGATGAATGTGATGTTCCTTTCATTTTGCTCATGTGCTCAGACACTTCAATGCACTCAGCCCTGCTATGTCACCCTCTCTTCCCCAGTACAGATATTCAGCATACTTTGAAATGGTTGAAGCTGACCTATTGGTCCACTGCCCTGGCTTTCAAGAAATGGTTCTTCCATGCTGGGTGAGCTGTTGGGATGTTGTGAGGAGGGCAGAGTGCTCATAACCCCTCCCCACAGATGCATGCTGGGAAAAGGTGGGATTCATAAGGCTGTGTGGGACAAGTGGCCGGTGTGACGGTCTCTCCTGTCTGTGTGTTGTAGATGGAGCTGCTGAAGGGACTGCCGTTGCGCCGTACTTTCCTGGCTGTCATCCTGAACCTGCTGGCCCTCACCCTCTCCACCACTGCCTTGCTGGGCAGCTACTGGTGCACCGGGACCCAGAAAGTACCCAAGCCTTTGTGTGGGAAGAACAAAGCCTCCCAGTGCGTGGGTGTCCCTGTGCCATCTGATGAAGATACGAGCAATGTTTCATCTGAGGACACAGTGCACTACAGCTGGGAGACTGGAGATGACCGCTTTGCCTTCAGATACTTCCACACAGGGATGTGGCTTTCCTGTGAAGAGAGCATGGAAGGGCCAGGTAATGTGTTGCCCAGGCGGCCACAACTTATTGTCTTGTATTTACTCCACAGAAGTTTGAAACTGAAAGGTGGGAGGCTGAGAACACCTAGGAGAAAAGTCTTCTTCCTTTTCCTAGATGGTATCAGCTGTATGCACTGGTGTGGTCAATATATTTCTGATCTCCACTGGAATGTTCACAGAGCAGGGAAATGGATGGAGAATGGTTGACTCTAGTGTGCCCTTTGGTCTGAAATAGGGGCTGTGAAGTGCAAGTGATGGTGGTGATGGCAGTGACTTTATGATGGCACTATTCATCCTGATGGGAACTTCCATGAGTCCCCTTTCCCTTTCCCTTTCCCTTTCCCTTTCCCTTTCCCTTTCCCTTTCCCTTTCCCTTTCCCTTTCCCCATATCTCCATTCCTATACACAGCTTACTTCATGCTCCTCAGGGTAAATTTGTGCGTGTCCTCTCAGAAATTTAAGTACAGTGATTTTATGCAATGTTAATTTTTAGCTATCACTATGAGGACAAACAATAGTTGGTTTTCTTAAATCACCAAACTTAAAACACCAAAAGAGTAGTTTTGTGTTACTAAACAGAGATTGGGCTTTTCTTAAAAATAAAATAAAATAAAACAGAGAAAGAGATTTACTACCTTACAGATTAAGAGAAAACCTTACAGAGAGAACCTGGAGGATCTTAACCCAAAGGAACTAAAGCTAGGAGACAAATTCACCTGAGGATTAGAGCTGAAATATGTAATTGTTCTTAGTTTTTGTGGTATTGTGACAGGTTTCATTTGTGATTTTTGACCATGTGGGACTGGCACTGTAAATCCTGAAGTGCCAGGGACTGGTTGTGCAACCTGTATTAGAATCCTTTAGTGCTTCCCTTCACCCTTGACTTGTTGCTGCCCAGACCTGCTCAAATCCTTCTGCTGGAGCCTGTGCCAGGCCAGCACAGGTGGGTGCTCTGCAGTGTTCAGATGCCCTTTACTGCTTGGCACACCCATCAAGGATCAGGACTAATCCAGAAGGTGGCCAACACAGAGATTTGTATCTAAAGGTAGAGTGATGAAAGTCACTTGCATCAGGGCCATTCCCCTAAGCCCACCACCCTTTCTTCAGCTCTGCCCAGGTGCAAACATCTCGCCTTCTTTAACCAAGCCATCCTTCCACTATAGTATTTTTCATCTTTGTTGCTGTCAGAGTTTGAAAATAAATAACTGGTGAAGAAAAGCAGACAGAAGGAGGGGTTGGAGCAGAAGGGAATGCTTGAAACTCTCATGTCCTAACAAGTGGGCTGCTTTTTGTTATGAGCATTTCCAGACGGGCTGTGGAAGCAGATGTGTTTATTTAGGACTGGTTTGGGTTGGGTTGTGTTTCCATGATGCTTGTGGGAATGAAACTACATCCCTTGACTGATTTCTCTAGACGACTTTTCTGTCCACTGGGCAGTCCTGGAATAACCCCAGTGCCTGAAGGAACACAGAAAGTATGTAACATCTGGATTGCAGCAGAACACGGGGCAGAAGTACAGTCTGTGTCTCCTGCTTCTTGTAAATCAAGCACAACACACCCACTACTGTGCATCTTTGAAGCAACTGCATAGACAATAAAAACAACAGGAAAGGGACTACTCTGAACAAAAGGAGTCTGAGTTGAGCTGGAGAAAGGATTTCATTATTCAGGCTAATCTCAGGATCGGTTTAGATGAGCCATTACTGAATATCCTCATTAATGCTCTAGGTGAAGTAGTAAATTGCAAGTTAATGAGAACCGCAGATGGCACTAAACTGGGTATCATCCTGAGAGCTGTGGATGACAGAAGTAACACAGGAGATTTGAAAAGATTAGAACTGGGGATAGAAATTAAGAAAATGAGATTCTTGCATGAAGCGGAAATGTCTGGGAGAAAATACTGTGCCAAGTGGAGGAGAGGACCCTCAAACGCACTAATGCAGTATGCAGGGAAAGAAACATACAGATAATAATGATGGACCCTAAGCTGAGACAGTAGTTTGTGCCTGGACAACATAAAAAGCCAAAGCAAATATTAATACAATTTGTTGAAATAACATGCCTGCAATGTGAGGACCAAGGACCATATTTCTGTATGAGTCTCTGCCACAGAAGGGGGACTTGAATCTCTCTCACAAAGTATTTCACTTGTGAAGTTGTTTTTTTTTGATTTCTTCTTTGAGAAGCAGTGCTAGAAATGCTCTTCTGAGATTAGGGTGTGTGGGAATTCAGCAGAAGTGGTGGATCTGCAATCTGTTACAAGCTACACCCTTAATAGATCTGATCATCAGTAATGTTCTGAATGAGTAGCAACAGATTTTTATATTCAGCAGAGGCTAGTAAGATTTATGAATTGCTGAAGCTTTTTTTCTGAAAAGGCCATTTCTAGTTTTGCAGGCAAATGTTGCCTTCTTTTCCTTTACTTCAGTGAAGGTCTGGAAAGATAGTCAGAAAAAGACCAGAGGTGAGAAGGTCTGATGGGTTGAAGATTCAGGGATGACTGGATGTATGCACTGAAAGGAGAGTGAGATGAAGATATTTTATTTTCCCCTATGTTCCCTGCATTGTTTTATAAACTAAAAGCTTTGGTTTTGTGTTTCAGAAGAGAAATGCCGCAGCTTTATTGAGCTTTCACCACCAGCAGAGAGAGGTAAGAGCAAATCCCTGTATTCCACTGTAGCTGTACAGTGCATCTCTTTGGGGCAGGGGGCATGCCACATTTTGCCTGTGTGGGGACAGCAAGGTGAGTCCCCAAAGAGCCAGGCATGAAATCCTGTCCTTGTGGTGACTAAAGGAACAAAGGTTTCCTCCCAGATGTTCATATAAACCACTGTTATTTGTGAAGTCAGTGGTAGAAATCTTATATTCCCTTCAGTATGAAGTGGGATGTAATAAATTGCCTGGTGTGGGATTGTCATCTTGCTGTAGTAAAGGGGAAGAGGATGGATGCAGCCTCAGGGCAATCCCTCCCACACAGTTAACTCGGTGCTTCAGTTCTGGGGTCTAATACAATGAATCTGGAAGCTGAATCACCTCTTTGTGGCAAGTGAACAGGACATTTGAAAGCTATGCTTTCAAGGTGAAGTCCCTGCCTCATTAAATACAAAATTACATTTGGGAAGGAGAGATCACCCCTCCTGTCATTGTCACGTTTCAAATCACCCTGTGGATAGCTTCAGTATACTTTGATGTAAGTGTACATATGGTGTGGAGATTCTACTTAATGAAGGCTTTTCAATTGGTGTGGGCTTGCTAACTATTCCCTGAGCTGGAGGCTGGAGGCAAGTCGTTTCAGAAGATGTTCATATGTGAAGGGAAAGGCCTGGGGTGCAGAGCCTGTGTCAGCATTCAAACCCTGAGAGCATGGGTGTAATCAATGCTGGGGATTTGCAAGCGCCATTTTCAGCCCTTCCTGCACAAGATATCATCTTAACGTGACCAGTGTGAGTGCCATTGTATAGCTGGGTTAGCACTGGACAAGGTGGTGTGGCTGTTGATTGTGGGATGGGCTGGCTGAGCTGGGTGTGTGCACAGCAGCTCCACAATACACAGGCAACATTACAAGACCAAATTACACATCACCAGTGGGAAGCCTGGACTCAGGAGGGAAATGATGCAGAGGTCTCTGTGTATGTGTGGTGCCCACAACCTCCAGAATACTGTTGACAGTCTGACCTTTAATGAAATATTCTTCTTGATGGTGCTGCAGCAAGCAAGCCAGCTCCTTTAAACAGGGAATGCAGCTCATCTATTTCTGCTAAAGAGCTAGGTGACTCTATGGCACTAATGATATTGAGTATTCAAGTCAGTGCCACATTAATGAGGGTTTTCTTCACACTCCTTTTCCCCAGCTGAATGTCTCCTCTCAGCCATTAATAGTTGCTAACAGTGATGTTCACAGTGCTGCTTCATTTGTCAGATTAATGTTTCTTCCTCAGTGAATCCTGTGCTTTTCCACAGCCCAGCATTACAGAGTGCCTTTCTTCATTCTCCTTCAATTCTTACTGCACAGCTGTAGAACTCAGCTCAGCTGTGGCCTCTGGTATCACTTAAATCCCACTCAAAATCCCAGCATGAAAGTACCTGCACTCTGTTCAAGAAGCAGGGTGAGTGGTCAGTGTTACTGCCCTGGCTGGGTATCACCCCCAAGGAATGTACTTTCATTTTAATTGGGGTTTCAGTGAGAAATACAGGCTTGCAAGAGGCTTCCTAAATTTCAGAGGCTGTGTTCCAGACAGTCATGGATGCACCATATAGCTCTTAAGTAGCCAAGTCCCAGGTTAAAAGTTGTTTGCTTTCATTGTCATAATTAGAGCTCAGGTGTGTTCACAGCAAATCTTTGACCATTAAATTTTATGCTAATAGTCAACAGCTTCCCTGTCTTTTTCCTTTTGCTTTCCTCCTTGTTGTTTATGGATAATGCTGGCTTGTTTACAGAGGGCATTTTGGTTCCTCTCAGCTCTGCCATGCTAGAGGAGCCAAGCCATCCTCTATGACAGGCAGTCTGTCCTCTACAGCATCCATTGATCCCTTGCTCACAGGCTGGGGAGATTGCTTTTGGGTGTTTACTGTTTTCCTTCATTCCCTTCTATCCAAAGGACATCCTTTCAGGATTGGGTTGAGAGAGGGGAGTACTCTTCCTTGAACATGGTTTCATCCTGTATTCCTGTCAGGAATCCTGTGGCTGTCACTGGGATCAGAGATGCTGTACATCAGCTTGCTGCTCATCAGCTTCATCCTCCTGATGGTGGAAATTCTGCATACCGGCAATCCTGTCTGTGGGATGAAGCTCAATGCCTTTGCTGCTGTCTCCTCAGTGCTGTCAGGTAAGTGTAGTAGTGTAGTCTTGGAATCTCAGCACTGGAGAGCCTGCTTTTCCACTCAAGACTGAAGTATGCTGATCTGGCTCCTGCTGTAACTTCTTTGCTTTGTCCTTTGTGTCCAGGTCTCCTTGGGATGGTGGCACACATGATGTACACTCAAGTCTTCCAGGCAACAGTTAATCTGGGACCGGAGGACTGGAGACCGCACACGTGGGACTATGGCTGGGCATTCTAGTATGTGAGCTTTGAAGCCATCTTCATTCCCCCACCATTAGAGCTTCAGCCATGCCACCCACTTCCTCCTCCTTTCTTGACCTTCTGTGTGTTCCAAAGACAGGTGTACCATGGTTCTCCTACTACTAATCTGTCTTTGCCTCACCCCGTTTTAATAAATGGTGGCTGAGCTATTTAAATTAATAGCTACCAAAGGACTGGGAAAACAATGGGGTCACACCTAAACAATTGCCTTCAGCCCTGCTGACTAATTAGGCTTGCCCCTCTGCTGGTTTGCCCTGTTTGGTCTCAACTCTTCCCTGTGTGCAGAGGCCAGTATCACACTTGTGATGATGCTCTCAAACACACCTTGTTTTTCTGCAGTTTTAGTAAGTTGCTTTGCTGATGCTGGTTTGGCATCTGCACTAACCAGTGTGGGGCCAAAGGGCCTATTCCTGCAACACCAAGCCTAGACATGTGCCTAAAGATGTGGGCACAGCTCGGCCCCCAACCAGCAGTCACACCATCCTCTCCAGTGCTGACCCAGCCATATAATGGTAGCTGCACTGGAGGCCAAGGTCATCTTAAGATGGTACTAAATGTAGGAAGGAGGGAAAGCAGGCAATAGACCACAGTGTCACTTGTGAGCTAGGAAGAGGAGCTGTGAAAAGCAAGTGGGTCAGTGTGCCTTCCTCTAAAGGATAAACCAGCCAAGCACAGCTGACACGACATACCTGACTTGAAAAACACTTGGATGAGCCTTGCAGGTGCCCATGGAACGGGCAGATACAATTTGCAATGCTATATTGATGATGATCACATTGATTCTTAAACACTCCAGTGCCGTGTGCCACCCATGGATATCAAATGCCAGGATGGCAATTTGGTTATGCTCAGGTAGACAAGCCTCATGGGCAGTAAGACACCTGCAATGCAGAACTTGCTTCTAAGCTGTGCTTTCCTGCTCTGACCAGTTACAGATGTTCCTGCTGCCTTTTTCCCTGTTATCACTCCCTTCCCTGTCATAGGGATGACCAAAATTTATCCCACTGATCTAAGAAGAATCTTGTGGTGGGATAACCCCTAAGAACTGTAATGTTATGAGCCTTAGTCACTCTAGTTCATAGAGTAGAGTTCATAGAGACACACTTAGTCTGTGTCCAGTAGGTTCTGCCTGGCAAATCAGGGAGAATTGGGGTGTATCACAGTGTTCCTTAGTCTACACGGCTTTTCACAGCATGTGCTTCTTCTGTGTGTCTCTGGCAGCATGGCCTGGGCCTCCTTCACCTGCTGCATGGCCTCTGCTGTCACCACTCTCAACACCTACACCAAGACGATACTGGAGTTCAAAAGGAACCACATCAAGGGATATGATGGGACCCTCAAGGATCACCCTCAGCACCACCAATGCTTCATACAGCAAATAAGCAGCTACTATGAGCCCAAAGGCAAGGTCTTCCATTCAGTTTCTGAAGGAGTTGACTTCTACACTGATCTGCAGCAGAAAATGCTACAGCGGGAACCAGAGCTGGACCTGGATGAAGTCTTGGGCCAGACAATTGGGGAGGATCGCTGTTAGGGATGAGTGTACAGGGACAGAGCAGTGGGTTTTGGGATGCACAAGAGCTCTGAACCAAGCAATGGCACCACTGTTAGCAGGTTTTGTGGAGCTCTTCTTGTCTCTACAGGGAGTGAAGAGGTGGGAACTGGGTCATGGCAACTAGAGTAGAAGTTTGGGGATCCTCTGTGGTCATATACAGTATGATAGGTGCCCTCATCTGACAAGGGTGAAACTGGAGGGACATGCTGGTGCCAGCTGTCTCTAAGCACTTTCAGAGTTGAGTCAGATGGCCTAATCCCAGTATTGCACTTGGGAACAGAGTCAGTACCATCCAGATGGCAAATTGCACTGCTGGGTAGCGTCACACTGACCTTCCATCAACGCCTCCAGTTCAGTGCTATGGTGAAGACGATCAGTGTTCATATTGATCAGCTGCCACCCTCTCTGAATACCCTGTTTATTCTTCATTTTCAGGCCCAAACTCTTCTCCCTGCCCCCAGATTAAAAGTCCTGCTGCAGTAAGAATAGGGGGTAGCTTTCAGACATCTCTCTCCTCCTCTTTCCCATCTGTAATGACTCCCAGATATTCCCTTCTTGCTTTTTTTGCCCAAAAATCTCCCATTCTGAGGTACTTTGCTGTATGCGTCTGTTTACTGTTTCTTCACAACCTTTAAGAACTTGGCAGGACTTTTGCTTTTTATGTTACTTCTATTGATCTGTTCCTTTTTGCCTATTGTAAAAATATTGCAAACAACCCCTGAATCAAAACCCCAAGCAAACTCGTAATCTCTCAAAGGTGAAACACTGGTTCACATGACACATGATGCTGTCCACAGTATTTATTTTGCTTCACTGCAGTTCAAATACATTTTTCCAACAATATACAGACAGACTCTTTATTCACAGTGGGGGCAGGGGAGGGGATGTGGCCAGGGTGAATTCACATTAAAGAGGAGCTAACATCACTGCTTTTGAATATCAGTTCTCTCAGGAAGAATCTCAGAAGAGTAACTACTTAGGTAACAGCCAATTCACCTTTTCCAGCAAGGTGGTGGCTGGACAGGAGGGAAGAGGCACTCCTGTTTAATCCCTCATACATTACTGGTCCTCACACTTTCAGTCCTATTATGCAGCTCTATTAACTGACTACATATTATAAACACGAAACCCTGTCTGGAGGAAAATGCCAGGCCTAGAGCCATTGCTACAGTTGTGCTAATATATACAAAGCTATTTACACAAAAATACCATTAAACATATACAAACTGTTCACAGGCTCTGACGTTAGGAGATCAGGGCCCAAGGACCAGCCTCGGGGTTTGCAGCTAAACCTGAAGGGCTATCCTGGAAGCTTTATATAGAGATGTGGGATGATGGAGAGGGTGATACAGCAAAGAGAGGTGTCAAGGGCCCAGGAAAGCAAACACATGGCTAATGTGCCCATCTGGAAGGAGGGTCAAAGTCTGCTGTCACCTCACAACTCATGGGGAAATGTGGGGAGGCTGGAAGGGCACATGCTAGACAGAAGAGTCCTTTGCAATCCTCGTCTCACCTGGCTCTGTTTAATGTCAAAGGCCATAGAACGGCATACAAAGAAAGCAGTTCCTATATTGTTGCCCTGAACTGTGGGGAACTACTGGGGCACCAAAGTGGTTCCCTTTTATGTGGTTTTTTCTACTACAAGAAAATTCATACAGATGCTCTTCAAACACAAGAGAGAATGATGGCACACTCTGGGACACAGTTCAAAACACCTAACACACTGTAAACAAATGTGACCCAGGGGTAGCTTGTTCCTCCTGGAGCTGCACACAGGGCTGGCAAGGGAATGGCAATATTGAGCTTAGAGTAGGATTAAAATGTACAGAAAAGCTTTCTAGTTCTGTCTCTCTCTAAACTTCTAAACCCTGTAGCAGCAGCGTAAGAATCAGCTTTTCTGTGACAAGATTGAGTGACCTTTACAGTGACAGTCTGGATCTGCTGGATTTCTATCCCAAGGGGGCTGTGATACATTTGCAAAGGGGGACTCTGCCCATTAGACTGCAGTGTGATGTTACAGTGACAATTTGGGTTTATAGAAACCTTAATGATGGAGAGAAATAAGCTGTGAACCTTTCACTTCTACATCACCCACATATGTCTGAACTTGGTGTCCTGAACTTGGAACTGGGAAAGAAAGACACAAGTGCAAGGGGCTGGCAAATGCTGTGGAGACCATCTTTCTCTAGATCAGGTAATTCAGCCAGAGAACTAGTTTGTTTCTGAACAGCATGGACAAGAGAGCTGAGAGCACAGGAGACATCGGTAAGACTAACCCTGCAGGAGGCAGAGGCTTCTCTCCAAAAATAAAAAGATTAAAGGTGTCCTTTAGCCACACCACTTGCCTTGACTCATCATGGCCCACTCTAGGCATAGAGCTTGTTAGACTGCTTGGGAACACTGTTTGGACATAAAAAGTGTGTCCTAAATCTCGTTCATAAATTAAACATACAAAAAATATACATATATTGTATAAATTAACACATATATATATAAAGCCTGATTTTATATATATATGTATATAAACTCTAAATTCACATTTCTGTGTTACCTGGAAGGAAGCATGCAAGAACAGCATATGGAGGGGGAGTTGTTGAACAAGGTTTCTCTGGTACAGAACAGGTCTGCCTAGGACAAACCTGCCTCCAGCAGCCTTCCCCAGACACCTGAAGAAAGGGGAAGTGCTTTTAGCCCTCATTCCCTCTATATAGCCGTTTTCCTGAAGACACACAGAGTAGCTTCCTATATTCCCCATAGAGACCACAGGTCCAACCAACATCTGAGGAACCACCAGGCTAGAGCTGAAGAAGGAAAGACAAACAAACATTAAAGCCAAAATCTATTATCATCCAGTCTAGTAAAGTAGTAATTTACAAGTCAGCAACAGAACCTGGGCACCACTGTATGGAGGACCCTTGTTTGCCCATGCCAAAACAAGTGATCTCAGTCCCACCTCTCTGATCCTCTCAGCAAATCTCTCAGTCTCTTATGATCATCATCCCTGTTTCTTTCTAAGATCCTGTGCTGTGTTCAACTGCCTAAGTACATCTTTGCTTCACAATCTGTCCAGCTTATGCCCAAAGGGGCAGCCAGTCACCTTGCACTCACTTTGCATCCCACCAGTCTCCTTCCATCCCAAAGAGCACCTTAACTGTGTCTGTAAGGAAGAGATCAGATTTTTTCAAAGGCCTCAATTTCATTAGGGATTCCTGCACAATCTCACCTTCTGAGGAAAGTCAGCAAATTTCATCCGGGCAAGAAATCGCCTCACTTCTCCACGGCTGATTTTTGGAGAGTTGCTGTCCTTTAACCACACCATTCGACCTTGACTCATCATGGCCCACTTCAGGCCCAGCTTGCTGACCGAGAGAAATCCTGGCTGTTTTTCAGAGGTTGCGGTTGTTGTCACAGTGATGTGAAATGCATCCTTTTGGAGATCATTAATTCCAACTAGTCCATCAGAAAAGGGCAAGAAAATAGTGGTGAGAGGCAAATCATTACATTTCTTCCAAAAGAAATCTTATAGCCCTTACTCAGTCAAAACACCCACTAGATAGTATATTCAGTCTGACTTTACAATTGCATGTAACTTAGTTGACAAGGGAAAATTATTTTAACTTTTTTTTTCATGCAAAAGTGAAATATAGATCAGAAATGGAAAGGTTTTGTCCTAGGTTATGCTTTTGAGCTTGACATAGGATATGAACATATTTCAAGAATACAGTTCACTCTCAGCTTTCCTTCCCACACCTGTTAGTAGCTATTCTTTAAGAAATTTGTAAAGCACTGGCAAGTCAGGTGACTTCAGCCACTGCAGAATGATCTGTACAGACCTCAGAAATCTAGTTTCTAAAAAGCCCCTGTAAAAATAATATTCTATTTGCTCTTGACTGAACGGTGTTTTTGATACAAGTTCAATTAGATGTTACTATGCAGCAGTTTTTCTATGCTTCCTGGCCTACTTCTCTCAGTTCTGGATGAACTGATCTTTTATCCCACACTCCCATGCACAAGAGTCTGGTTATTCACTGAACTGCTTTAGAAAGAGCAAGGAAATTGAACAGGGCCTGTAAAATCTTGTATAGATGTCAAATCCAGATCTACTTTTCCCTGAAAACACACTTATATATTTTTGACTCCCCCTTACAAAAAGAAAGAAGCAGAACAGCTCCTATCCCAAAGAGCAGGAGATGGCAAACAAAAGCAAAAATGTATCTGAAGTGACAGAGAAAAGTTTTATAGTGATTTTTTATGCACTGCATGAAATTAAAAATAGCTCCATGAAAAGCAACACAACTTCTCTGATGTAAAACATGCATTAAGTCAAACTTAAACCTTTCCTTGGTTAATCATGTAAGAAACCTTGTGAGTCTTTTATTTGCAAAGTAGGGGGTGGACAGGATGCTCCTTCAGAAGGATGATGAATCTTATTTCCCACTGTTGTCCTCCGTGTGGTGGACCTTAGGTGCTACCTTTAAAGGCACAACTACAGTCCATTGTTTCTCACAGTTACTTCTCTCTTAGTATTTCTAGCCTAGGTACTATCTCCTCCATTTGTACTCACCTGCTGAAGCAATGACATTGTCTGTTGCATTGGTGAGGTCCAAAAGAACTGTAGGAAAAACAGGGTGGAGGAGATAGAGGTGGTGCAGCCCTGGGCGCTCAGGTCTGGGACCAGGCTGCTGTTGGAATGCAAGAGACAAAAACATAAAAACTGGCTAGCAAAGGGGAGTCTAGCTTTGTCAAAAAAATAAAGTTTTCTGACACTGAGTTGTTTTAATATGGATCAGAGAATGAAAAACTAGGGTTTTATGAAGATTAAATCCTAAAACCCTTTTTTCCCTAAACCAGAATTTGCTCCACACCTTCTGTTTGGTAAGGTTGAAATCTAGCTCTGTCATATGCAGCTTAATGGGCAAAGCTACAGTCTGGAAGTTTGAGTCTCCGTGCCAAACTGTGTGCCTGCATGGACAGAAGGAGCATTCTGGGCTGGGAACAAATATGCAGTTACAGCTCCTCAGTGCTGCATGAAAAAATTAAATTCTCAAATTATGGGGTTTGTGGGTGCAAAATTTCTGTCAACAAAGCTCTATGGTGAAG